TACTCATGGAAACAGAGATGCCCGTACAGAATAATACACACGGTGCCGGATTACACACAAAACTGTACGCGCTACTCATGGAAACAGAGATGTCCGTACAGAATAATACACACGGTGCCGGATTACACACAAAACTGTACGCGCTACTCATGGAAACAGAGATGCCCATACAGAATAATACACACGGTGCCAGATTACGGATTACACACAAAACTGTACACATTACTCATGGAAACAGAGATGCCCGTACAGAATAATACACACAAGGCCGGATTACACACAAAACTGTATGCGCTACTCATGGAAACATAGGTGCCCGTACAGAATAATACACTCAGTGCTGGATTACACACAAAACTGTACGTGTTACTCATGGAAACAGAGATGCTGGTAAGATAGTTTTAAATACTCTGCAAGGATATAAGCTAAATTCATGACAGCGGCCGTCTCTGGGGAGAGGCTGAGAAATGGCACTATTGATGGGGAACAAAGGAGATTTCAACATTAACTGGAATGTTTCATTTCTTTGATTAAAATAAAAAGACTTGAAGTGTATACAAAAAATATTAACTATGGTCAATTCTGGGGAATGAATATGTGAGTGTTATATTACTACTTATTCTTTTATGTATTTTAAATTGTTCTTGAGATAAATAAAAAGAAAAGAGAGACGGCAGGGATTAAAACTATGCCTCTGCTTATGTGAGAAGGAATTTGCCAGAGGTAGAATGAACCGAACTGCAAATAAGAAAATTAGAGGGAAAAGTGGAGTTGGTTCACCAGAAGGGGAGTGGACTTGCCATGTGGTGCTGCTGGCTCTGCCAGGAGGAAGGAGAGGACAGGCAAGCCACTGGGTGTGGAGGAGCATGTGGTTGGCCTTGGTTCAGGAAGGTCTGTGTGAATGGTTCTGGATGACGAGGGTCCCGCACAGGCCCAAGGGTGACGGGAGTAAAGGAAGATGGCAGGGCTCAGCTGAGAACGGCTTTCCCCGGCCCGCCTTCTCTGGGGATTCTGGATCCTATGCCAAGGGTAAGGGTGCCCAGTCTTCCTGAATCTGGAAAATTATGTGACTCTACTACTTATCTATTAAGAGAATGTAAACATTAGAAACTTCCTGCAGCAGACCTGCTGAATACTGGAAGACAGAGAAAAGAACTAGGGCAGGAGCAGACTGGCAGGTAAACACGGTGAACGGAACACATGGCTTTCTCTTTGTTCCCTCTACAAAAAGGCAGTAAAGAAATTACATATATGTTTCCCATCAAATACATGTGTAATATATCACACACATGCATGCACAGGCACGGCCAAAGGAGGTGTGACATCTTTCTGTGTCAGCACCGCAGAGAGAGGACACACAGGATGCACATGGACTCACACTCGAGCCCTGGAAAGGCTCAGGCCCGTGAGTCAGCAGCCATCTCCTGGCTGAGGAGGGCTGGACAGGAGAGCCGCAGGAGGCAGGTGCAAGGAGCAGTGTACTCGCCAACTCCCCTCCCCTTCTTCTTACACAAAGGGGCCTGGGGATGAGTCCGCTTCCACCTTGACAGCAGATAGGTGTTTCACTCTGGACACCCTGACAGAGAAAGTGTACTCTTGGGCCACCAGGCATAGCAGAGGGTGGAATCCTGCAGCAGCTGAGAGCGGGATGTCACATGGAAGTGAACATCCCAGGTGAGGGGACACCCCTGCCCAATCTCACTCCTTTCCCTAGCTTAGCTTTCAGGTAACTTTGATCCAAGCTGAACTCCCATGGCAGGAGGCTGGAGGGTCCCTCTTGAGACTGTGCTCAAGAGGAAAGACCTAGAGATACTGACCTATCTTCCTTCTCCTTGTCCCTCCCTCCTTCATTCCATAAATATTTATCAAGTGCTTACTGTGGAATAGGCCCATTTTAGAACCTAAGGAGCTTACATTCTAGTGGAAGGCAAAGAAAAAAAAATAATAAGAGTCAAAGAGGGACTATGGAGAAAAATACAGAAGTATAAATAGTTGGAGGGGGACACATTCCTTTAGTTAACATATTCAAGGAAGGTCTCTCTGGTAAACTGACAACTGAGCCAGGATGTACACGACTGGAGGAAATGGCCAAGCAGGTCTCGAAGAGCATCCTGGGAAAGGCACAGAAAGCACTGTCTGCTGGTCTGGCTGAGTGGGCAGGGTCTTCCATGAAACACCCATCCCTCTGCTAACCTTCAACGCAGCCCCAACCCATCCACACACAAAAAGCTTCCAGCCAGCTTTCTCAGTGTCTAGCATTTAAAGGTGAACGGTCAGTCAAGTATCACCAAAGAAAGATTCTAACAGGAGACCTAAGAACATAAGCACACAGGGAGGAAAAGCACAACTCAGACAATACAGACACAATTCAGTGAGCAGAATAAAACTTGAGGGAGAAAAACACAAATTATTATTAGAAAGATAAAAGAAAGTATTGCCCTTGAAATAAAAATAAAAAGATTATAAAAAGGGGACCTTTGAAGAATAAGTACTCCTGTAAATTAAAACTCTGAGGTAAAGTAAATAATTCAACAAATAGGTTAGAAACTTGAGGACATTTCCCAGAATGTCAAACAAAACAACAAAGATAGAAAATAGGGGGGAAAAAAAAGGATAAACAGAATGAGAGGATAAAACTAGGAGGTGTGCTATTCAGTTAGTAGATGTTCCAGCAAGAAAATAGAGAAAATATGAGCTAGGGGGTCAGCGAAGTTCTCATCATGAGAAAATTTCCCAGATACGAAGACATTAAGTTTGCAGTAGCCACTACAATAAACAAAACAGATCCACACCAAAGCTAGTATTGAGAAACTCTAGTCTAGACGATCTTCAGTGCTTCTGGAGGGGAAGAGGCAGGTCAACACACAGACCTGGGAATCAGATTCACCGGAGGGTTTTCCAAAGGAATACAGGGGGTTAAAAGATAATGAGCACTTCCTTCCAAATACTGAGGGAAAAATTAGTTCTCAGCCAGAGCACTATTCCCAGCCAAGTTACCAGTCAAGTGTGAGGACTGAAGAAACCTTCATTCAGGCGTAAATCTCAAAAATCCACCCCCAATGCATTCACAAGGGTCTACCAGAAAATGTGCTCCCCAAATAATGGAACTAAGACCAGAGAAGTTATGGGATCCAGAAAATGGAGGATGTGGCATGGAATAAAGGCAAGGGGAATTCCTAGGATGGGAGGACAGGAGATCCCAGGATAACAGCCGCACAGCAGGCCCAGAGAACCAGTCCACACTGCAGAGGGGAAGCAAGTGGTTCTAAGGGGGAAGTCTCAAGGGAGCAAGAAATGACTGACGGGATGTGTCAGGTCAGGGTGGGTGAATTTGTGTTGCTCTGACAAAAGTTAGGCAGAAGAATCCTACATACAGTGAAGAGTACATAGAAGATTAATGAATGATAGATACCCAGAAAGCTAAGCATCTAGGAGAAACAAATGACCGGAAAAGGAAGGTGACTGTAGTGTACCACATGGCGTGGGTCTGAGCAATAGCTACATAGTCAGGCTGATGCTGAGGATGAATTTGATACAAAGAAAAACTGCGATCTATCTAAGCAGGAGGATAGGGGAGAAAGGACCCTGCATGTGAACAAGGCTAAATTCCTACCTTTCAAAGTAAGACCACGATAGATATTTTCAGTGATGGAATTAAGAAAGAGCAGAATAGGCTTAGAATATGAAGGCACGGATGAAAAAAGAGGACTAAAAGAGATGAACATGTTTGCCCAAGATTTTAAAGTCTGATCTTACATTACATTAGACAGAGTAGAAGTGGGTGGGCCCCAGGCACTTTGACACACTGGTGGAGGATGGTCCAGTTAGAAGGATGGTAGACGGACATACCCCTAGGTTTGCTATTCCCCTGCCTATGGAGAAATAGCAGGAATAGGACTGCACTGCAGTACTGTCTGAACAGCAAGAGAAGAGAAACACCCTAAAGGCTCACAGAGGGGCTGGTTAAGTAGATTATGGCAGGTTCCTATCCCTGTAATGACGGACTATGCAGCTGGAGTGGGAGAGGGAGGGAAACTCAAAGAAGCTCTAAGGTCTAGAAAAATTTGTATTTACAAAAATATCCCTGAGGTCAGTCATATAATTAATCATGGCATGCATTAGCTAAATCCAAAGTTGATGTGAGTTTTAAAATTACACGGAGACCTTGGAGAAAACAAAATGGGAGAATACAGTTGTTTTCGTTTTACCTTTAAGGGACAGGGCCCCACTCTGTCACCCAGATTGGATGGAACGCAGTGGCATAATCACACCTCACTATAACCTTGAACTCCTAGACTCAGGTTATCCCCCTGTTCAGCTTCCTGCATAGCTAGGAGTACAGATGTGTACCACATCAGTCTAAGTTTTAAATTGTTTGTAGAGATGGGTCTCATTGTGTCGCCCAGGCTGGTCTCAAACTCCTGGTCTCAAGCAATCCTCCTGCCTTGGCCTCCCAAAGCACTGGGATGACAGATGTGAACCACCTACATATGGTGCACACATCTGGCACATACATCTCTGGAGGCAGAGGGAGGTAGAAGGGAGGTGTTTTGCTGTTTATAGCTTTTGATTTTTAAATCATATTAAATGTATTTTCCATGAATATCTTTTCAAAATATTAATTTTTTGTTTAAAAGAGAAAAGAAAGCAGTTGCTTTCTGGAGAGTGGGACGTAGGGTAGGGAAGAGCAAAGCAGGAGACTGCTGCTTTTTGTTACAAGTCTTGTGGTTGTATTTGGCTCTTAAAACTATGTCCATGTATAACTTTGACCAAAAAAAAAAATTTAAAGTTAAAAAAAAAGCAGAGCCAAGAAGAGGAGCAAAGCCCACAGTGACAAGGAATGGAAAGGGTATGTGAAGAACAGATTTATTTACAACCTTTGGGAGCAGGGCTGGAAGGCAAGCATGAACCCTTGGAAAAGAGTCTCAAAAAGGCAAGAAATAATAAAGGCTGTCTGCTGTCAACTGAGCTTATAGCAGTGACGGCAGTGCCCTCTCCAAATCGTGTGGCACTGAGATGTGATGGGTATTAGAGGCTGTGAGTGAACATCAAAACTTGCCTGAAGATCCCTCTGACAGTTCTTTGTGAGTGCGCCTCTTGCGCTGACCCCACAGCTGCCCGCTGCCCTGCCGAGCATGCTGTTCTTCTTGTCTGGGCATTGTTGTGATGGGCCAAGGACTACATTCCTCTCTTTGATCATACCTAAAGATGATGTATGGACTGGGCAGGCGATGGCGGGAGCATTTTCTGGAACACTAGGTAATGGAAATTACTATGTTTTAACAGCTCTTAAATTGGACCTGTGTGTCTTTCCTCAATGATCCCCAGAAGCAGAGCAAGACAGAGTGCCCTATGCAGCAGAGAAGCAAAATCAACCTGGGTTCTGTTTATTCCCTTCTAAAGAGTTCCCTCAGCCTCAGTCTCTGACACCAGCCTAAAGTGAAGCCTTAGTGTGCAAGCCTCTGTCTCATCTGGCACAGCGGTAAGTTCTGTAATATACTCAACTGGATTTGATAGAATTCTTTTTTTTTTTTTT